AGATTGGGGAATCTCACTAATAGCTGTTGATTTTGATCAATAGTTGAAGGATTATTTGTTATTGATACACTTTGACGAATACCTTTCACACCACGGGGTTCTCTTATTTTTCTGTAAGGATTTAATTTGTTTCCGTATGCCGACATTTTTAAGGATTAAATTTGTTATAAAAATAATTCAATTATCACTGATACTAGAGTATTGATACATGTATAATTATTAGTCATACTAATAAAACTTATTAAATCTCCAGCCTTAACTTCAAAAGGTGTATAAAAGTTATTAAAACCGTGTGTGACACCCTTATCCAAACTCATTTTGTAAATAGTTGACTTATCATTAACAATCATCTTAATGGCTATAATATCTGTGCTTGTTCTTAAACTTACTAAACTAATACCCAATATTTGTCCTGGAAAGTTCATTACATAATAACCACCACCAACACCAAAATTAAACTTTTTATTTCCATGTATTGGACCATCAATTCCAGCATATATACTTATTATTTTTCTGTCTGGTTTATTTTTAATATTATCAACTATATTTTCAACATTTAAAACTCTGATGCTTAGGGCAGCGACACTCCGATGTAAATTAGTATCCATTGTTTGAAGCTCACTCTTCATATTTAATATTTCTTTTTCTACGTTTTTTTTTTTGACACCAAGTATGCTCATTTTATTAAATAAATTATATAACTTCTAAAACACAATTAATTGGTAAATGATTAATTATCTTGTTATTATTTTCATCTCTTATTTCTAATTTCAATTCTGTTATAACATCATTTACTAAACACTTATATTCCGGATGCTCAAATCTCGCTGTTATAACTTCACCAAACTCTTTATTTTCAACTGGAATAACAGCTAATAATTTACTTGGCTTACCATCAAGATAATTATGAGAAGTGCTAACTTGTTCCAAATGGATATATAATGATTTATGGATAGCAAAATCCACAAATTTGTTTCCATAATGTAATTCATTAGGTTCGAATTTACGTTTATTATTAAACCCTAACATATTTCCCAAACCCTTACTTATCCTTAACTCAGTAGTAGTGTTTAATGAAGCGATACCATTTGCTTCATTTACGGATAATACAATATTTTCTTTTTGAAATTCATCCACTATTTGTTGAAAACTATAATAACCATTCATAATCCTTTGCTGTTCCTCTCCGGTTTTTGTTATAAACCCATGATAAACATTATACCAACCTATGCTGTATCTTATAAATTTCAAACCAATACGTTTATTTCCATTTCTGTTATTTATGTATTGTTCTAAGTTTATTGTATTATCAATATTTGAAATAGTATGAAACATTTTTAATATAAAAAAATGATAACAAAAGAATTTAAATATAATCCTAATGTTTCATATAATCCAGGTATTAAATATTCTGAAAAAGATCATCAATTAAAAACAAATCTTGTAAATCAAACGATATTTGTAAATCAAAAAGAGAACTTTAAAACAGCTTTTCCTGATTTATTTCAAAACTATCAAAACCCATCAATACACACTAACGAACCATGGAATGCCTGGATTCATTCTTCATTTGATTGGTGGCAATGTCAGTTAAATTTTGCAGTTTGGTGTGCAAGTACAGGATGTGGTGTTTCTTATAATGATCATATACAAAATACTTCAAATCTTACAAAGTCTTTTTATATGTTTCATTTATATTATTGTATTGCCAGAATTTTAAAAGAACTTAAATCACCTTTACCAACAGATTCTTCTTTCTGTTATTACAAGAACCCATATGACAAAGCTGCATATCAGAAATTATGTGATGAATTTAATATTTCTCCAAATACAAATTGGAGACAAAAACTAGAATCATCATGTCAAGGATTAGGAAGTTTTGAGCAATATTATAAACCAAGTGGAGAATATAGACAAAGAAATAAAATTAAAGGACCTTTCTTTAGTACTCATGATACTATTAAGCATGAAAAAGATATAAGTATGGCTTGGACAACATTTATTTTAGATAACTCTAATGGGTTTACACAAGCAGGTATTGAACGTATTAATGAAAGTATTAAAATTTATGTATGGGCTTTGTTAGGTGCACAATCTCAAACAAAAACAAAAATTTTAAAAGTAGGAACAGGATTTGATGCACAAAAACAATTCTTAGCAAATGTACAAGATGTAATAAATAGTCCTATCGATTTACCCACCCAGATATCGAATTATGAAAATGTTTTAAAATATGCAAGAAGTAAAGTTGATTATGCTTATGGACTTGGTTTATATATGTCTCCCAGTGATATGGTTTTACAAATTGGAAGTATTGTTGGTTATAATAATAAAATTATAATTGCAACAGAAAATCAAACACTTGGGTTAAATGATGATTTAAATAATAAAAATTTTGATCATGTTGATTTTAAACCAAAAGAACCTGTAAAACCACAAGAACCTATAAAACCTGAAAAGCCTAAAGAACCAAAAATAGATCCAATAAAAAAAATTGAACATGAAGATCATGAAGATAATAAACAAGCAATAATATTTGTAAGTATTGTAATAGGATTTACAGCACTTTATTTTTTCAAATAATCTCTAACAGCAGTAAACAATAAACTAACAACTAAAATAAGCAATGCCCATAAGTTGTTTGCAAACCAATTTACTACGTCTTTTGTTGCAGACAATAACCAAGAAACAATAGAACCTATAATACCTGGTAATGCAGCTGCTAATTTTCCTGCAAGAAAAGATAATAATTTTCCAAGATTTTTTAATTGTTTTTTTATCCAGTCTTGTACACCACCACCTTTTGATGGAGGAGAAGGAGAAGGAGAAGGAGAAGTAGTTCCACCAGTAAATGCTTCAACAATAACACCAATAATCATTCCAAAAGCAGTTAAAACACTAACTATTGTTATTCCTTGTTCTCTGAATAATGTTCTTATTCTTTCACCTAATGTTTTGTCTTCGTTTAACATTTTATGTATTGTTTGTTTAAATCTGTTTACTTGACTACGTAGTTTTTCTTTATTAATATTAATTACTTCTAGTCTTGCACTTCTCTCAGATTCCAATTCTCTTATTCGACTACTTATTCTATCTATTTGAAATTTATTATTGTCTTCTTTAGCTTGTTCTAATTTGGCATTTTCTTTTGCTAAGTCTTTATTTGTTTCATTCAGTTTTGCTAAATTATTTGCAATCTCATCTTCCGCTGTTGTAAATGCTTTTATTATACCATCCATCTCTCTTTTTGTCATTTTTGTTTGTGTTTCTTCATTTATTAAAGATGTTCCTTGTTCAATAAATGAAGTTTCTATTTCTTTCACATATGTTTCTGCATTACTTGCTGTTTCTAATAATTCTTGTCCTTCTTCTTGTGTAGATATTTCTTGTAATGGAATTTCTATATTATCGAGTTCATTTAACATTCTCTGAAACCCTGCTCTACCTTCTCTTAAATTATCAGATATTTTATAATCATCTACACCTAAAACATCCCTGACAAAATTAACACCGTATTCTCTTTGAAGAGTGCTAAATTTATAAAACTTTAATACTCCTTTTTGGTAATATGTTAATGCAATATCATTACCTTTTTCATCTTTTACATATAAGATTTGTCTTCCCTTATGATTTTCCCCAACAAAAAAAACCTCTTCATTACGTATAGTTTCACCATTTTTTTTATAAAATTGTTTAATCATTTTTTTTGTAGTTTCTTTTTTACGAATTTTAACATCATTTTCTGATAAATCTCTTGATATTTCAAATTCCTTATTTATATTATTTTGAAACTCTTCATCATCTTGAAAAGACGTTTCTTCTTCTTCATAATCATCATCATAATCATTATTTTTAAACTCAGGATTATCAAACTCATAACCTCCTTCAGCCATTTTATTCATCTAAAATATTAGATAATAAACAATAAAAAGAACCTGTTAAAAACAACTTAAGATAAAAATAATTAAATTTTTTATTTAACATTATTTTTACATTTTTTACTAATTTTTCTTTTGTTTCTTCATCCATTTATTTAATTAAAAATTGATTCATAGTTTGGTGGATTTCCGTTATCAACTAAAATTATTTTATTAAAGAAAATCAAAGATTTTCCATTTTTTTTTTTAATTCGTTTTTTACTCTATTTTCTGTTTCCTCAATTAGTTTTTTTCTTTCATCATCTGGTAAACTTTTTAAAATTACTTTTTTTTTATTTTTTTTCATCTCATTAAATTTTTCTAATTCATCTAAAATAAGTTTAAATTCATCTACACTTATCTGTCCGTCAGTTAAAGATTTTGATATTAAATCTTTTATGCTGTTTAACTTGCATTCTGCCATTGTTTTAATTTCATAATGTTTTTTTGATTTTGTTGTCAACTTTCTTCTAATTAATTTAACTAGACCTCCTAAACTTCCACATACAACAGCTGCAATTTGTATGGGAAGTAAGATAGGAAAAGCTATTCCTATACCAGCTAAAACAACAGATGTCGAAATTAAACTTGTATCAACACCATCAGTAACATTAACTCCGCGTTTATATTTTTTGTATAGTGATTTACGTTTATCTCTCTCATTTATTAATGTTTTTTCTATTTCTGTTATTTTTTGTAGTCTATAATTTTGTCCATCTTCTATAGGTAATTCTGGATATAAATCAGGAGCTGTAGGTTGTTTCATTTTTTAAAGTAAAAATTGATTTTTTTTTTTTCTCTTAAATCCCACAGAATTCTTTCTTCGCCTGTTCTCCCGGTTTTTTTATTTATTTATTTTTTGGAATTTTTTTGTTGTTTTTTGGGTGTTTTTAATAACGTTTTTTTCCAAAGTAAAAAAAAAATTTTTTTGGGAGTAAGAAAATTTTGGTGTTTTTGCGTTTTTTTTTGCTTTTTTTTTTATGAAAATTTAGGGCTCTTTTACTTGAAATGAGGGTAATTTTTTGGGGGTCAAATTTTTTTTTTTGGAGGGGGGGGGGGTATAGGTGTGTGATATAGTGTAACCTTAAACTAACAAACATTAAAAAATAGTTCAGTCCAATTTTGTCTGCTATCGTTATCGACTTTTCAAACTACTCCTTCTGGTTTTATGAAATAAACTGTGTTCTCATGTGTATGTATGTAACTGGTTTCTTGTGCATGTATTAAACTGGTGTCTGTGTTAGATTGTACAGAACATGGCAAAATTCCATCCTCTACTCCCCCGTTTTCGTGCGTTTCTCCAAGTTGCGATTGGTTTACAGATACGTTGGAATGTATTGTGTTGGAGCGATCTGTATTTTTGTCTCTCTTCTTCAAAAGTACTTCATGTTTCCAGAAAACCCAAATGAGAGCGATACATAGTAGTAATATCAAAACTGTGCTGATGACTATGATCGATGATATTGGTATTTGACTTTTATCTTTGCCTGACAACAAATGTAAGGATAGCATCATGAATACAAAAATATGATCGATTGTTCTTGCAGCCCATGCAACATATTTTTTTCAAGGTACTTTATAAAACAATATTATACAATATATTTATTATTTAAGCGAAGTTATTTCTTAAAACTGGTAATGTATAGCACATGTACATTTTTTATGACATTCAAGCTATACAAACATATAATATATATGTATATTCACTTGGAGATCTTGACTCTCCTTCCTGCGATGCACTTTAATTCAAATGATTACTTGTTTTTTTCTCATTTTATTTTTAAGAGAATAAATGCAGTTTCTAGTTTCTTCTTGTTTAATGGACCATTTTGTTGTATTACAAATACACAATACATTTCTTTAATTTATTTGTAGGGTGTCAGATAGTCATCTGATTTACCTGCTAAACGTAATAGGTGTATATCAATTGTTCAAATCGTGGAAATGTCAAAAGTAAATGGATTTACCTGTTTTGTTCTTTATTTCTGCGGTAGTTGCCAGTGCTGTAGATGTGCCTGCAAATATGTAAAATTTGGCTTTCAATAAACACAGACATCACACATATTACACAACTGCAATTACTTATATATAGTTACAATGACCACGTTGATTTAGTAGGATACTGATTTGCTAAAAGTAATTGTTTGGAAAATCTCCAATTGTTTGTAAAATTTTGATCATTTTTCAGGCATCATTTTTTTTTCTAAATCGTCCACAGTCTTGAGTACTTAGTAAAATAATTCAACCTCAAATGTTTACTCGAGACTCAAAATAAAGTCAACTTTTATAGCTGACTGTGTGATATGGGCTTTGCTCATTGTTGAAGGCCGTACGGTGACCTATAGTTGTTAATTTCTGTGTCGTTTGGTCTCTTGTGGAGAGTTGTCTCATTGGCAATCATACCACATCTTCTTTTTTATATAGAAAATGCAAGTAACATAGGCATTAACATTGTACTATGAAATGAACGATAAATGATAAACGGGAATGTGAACAGCGAAATTTGCAAAAACGACATATGTATAGCTCTTAAAAAGGCAAATGGACAACATGGACAATGAAATGCAATTTCATGACAGCAATAGAAAATAAACATTAATGATAATCCTTATGTAAAAATCAAAGACATATTTATTAGATATCAAATAATTAATATCCCTCAAAGGAGATGGCAGTGTTTTATATGCTTACTTATCAATGGATAATTTTTGTGTTAATCATTTTTAATTTTTAAAATACTAAGAAATTATACATAACAAAGTTCCTCAATGTTTTCCTATATAAATATATCTTATGATAACTTGTTAATTAGAATAAATTACTGTCAATAAAGTATTGTCACTGAAATAGATAAACATGAGTCGCTTTACATTCGGTAAGTCATAATAAAAGACAGTGTCCTTGAATTTAAAAACATAATATTGCATTAGTAGCACAAAGAATTAATTTTAACGTCATCGTATGTACATCAAAATACATGAAGATAGTGAAAATATTTACCAATACTTTTCAAATAATAAAAAACCAAAGTCTCCAGCTATTTACATTGACGCACTTTTGCTCAATAGGACCACAACGGCGTTTTTACTTTGCCCCCCAATATATTTTTTTTTTAATTTTGTGCCAATATGTTTTTTTTCATTTGCGCCATTAAAATGTTTTACTAGCGCCTATCATAATACAAGTAAACACATGGGAAACATAGGTTATTAATTTGGTTTATATAGCTTTTACCCGTTTAGTCTATCATCTGTCCCCTTGTTGGAAGTTGGATTTAGAACAGTATAAGTGTATTTTATATTTGTAAGCAACAGTTCTATTGCACAGTGACCGTATTATTTCACCTCTTCCATAAAACTGGTTTTTTTTTCAAAAAGAAGTTCAATTTTTATTGCCAAAATGAATGACCATCACACATAACTAATTTCCTTGGTTTTCCTTGGTATGCATATAATCCATTTTACATTCTTTTATCGCATGCACGAGAGTTTCAAATCAGTGATAAGTATGTCATTTTATTTCATGTACAGTGTTTATATTTAAACACCATTTACCTGTTGTTTCCTCAAATGATTACGGTTTTTAATGGTCATTTTAAAATGGCGCAAATAAAAAAAATAATTGTTTAGCGTACCAATGCATACAACTATCCACTAATCTGAGATAAACCCACCCATCATAGCAACACATGGCAACCCAGCATCCTCGGACAAACGATCTACAAAATGGCGGTTACTTCGAAGTTAGATGTGTTGCTACACAATATTAATCTTGATTATTTTAAGGATAAAACATTAACAGAGACCATACGACCAAGGTTATAATTATTTTACCCTTGATTACATTCATAGTATAAATTTGTGTGAAATTAGTGCAAATGAAGTAGATATTAAATCCAAATGTTACCGGTCAATGAGGAAAAATGAAGCTCCACACAAAGTAAACATTAGATTACAGTGTTGAAAGATGAGAAGATTATATCAGACAGCAATTTTACATGTGTAGCAGGGTATGTAATTAATTAAAATATACATGATTGCATGTGGTGTCATACTCCACATGATAAAATAATCAAATAAGGACACTTTTTAGATAAGATACATATCAAAGATTTATGGCACAGCATGTAAACTGGTCAATTTACGCTCAATGAAACACTTGTTCATGTTGTTTTATTTGTGTATTGATAATTGGCAAAGATGTGATTATATCTATCTTCATTTAATGATTGTATAATCAATCCATTCTATCATGAAATCAAAAAGATAAATATGAAAATAAATAATATGATATACCAGAATTAATAAAAGCTTCTTTCTTCATTTTCAGTTTATCTGGTACTTGTTCCCATGTTGTTTGGTTAGTACATACAATTTCTCACTACCAGAATTTAAGCTTAAAAGAGGTACCATCAGAGCTATCTGCAACATGTTTGGCAAAGCAATGGCACACACCAAGGGGGAGGAAAATAAAAGCACAACCTGTAGTTTCAATGACTCTGGCAAATCCAACAACACCTTCTTTAGAGAGAAAAAGAAAACCACTTTTTACAGAAATTTCACAGGTTGATTTACCAGGTTCATCAACAAGTGCAATTTTAAGACTCAAGGAAGATGATGACATTCCACTGAGTTATTTACTGCAAGAAAATGCAACCACAATCGATACAAAGCTGGGCAAAGTTCAGACTGGGTCCTTACTGTATTTTCATGTAAGTAAAATATAATCAGAAGTTCAGACATATTTTAATTTCCTTTACCTGTAAATAAAATATTCATTACATTTTGATAAGAGTGTCCTGAAAATTTGTTAATAAGGAATATATAGTCCATATTTCATTTATGTTATCAATAAAGTTCCTGGAATTCTTCTATTAGCCATTTTGAATTTTTTTATTTCTTTAATTGAACGTTTGCGGGTAAGTGCAACATCACCAGAAGGCATTTGTGTTGCAGTTGATGCAAAAGGTGGAATATTTAGTCTTAAATGTAATTCACCAAGCTGTTTTTCTATACGAAATCCTTTGTCTGCCATTATCCCATCGTTGTCTTGAAGATAACCCTAATCTTTTAATTGCTGTAGCAACTTGTAAAATCCACTTTCCTTGCAAATGTCATTGTCTGAAATAGATCCAGAAAATAAATCTGATACAAATATGACAGAACTTCTTGGATCTGTAACCACCAAAGATTTCAATGTGAAGACTTGTAGTCTGAATAGCACTGACTCTGTGACTTGAGTGATGAAGGTTTTTTTGTTTTTAATTCTGCACAGTTTATAATTGCAAGGCATGTTGGAAACTCTTGTTTGTATTTTTGTGGCATATTCTGTATTATGGTATCTCTGTGGGGCCAGTATGACAAATATCCCAATTTAAGTTACATTTAATGGATAACACTCTTGAACATTACACTAACATTTTGTGGTTTTATATGGAATCTGTATGCTAAGTCCTTTATGTGAAGTCCATTTCTTAAACGACACAACACTAAGAATAGCTGGTCAGTGAGGAGCATTGCTTTGACTTCTTTTTTTTTTTCTTTGTAATTTACTGGATTTATTCCTTCTTCTGGAAATAAAAACTGTACTAACATAATGAATTTTACATATGGTAATCCAGTATAATACTCGAAAAGTTTCTTTATATTTTAATTTGCCACTATTTCTGCTGAAAACTCTTTATTATGCACAACTTGTTTGTGTTTCTTTGCTGGTGATCTTTTGCTCTTTAGTTTGAAATCCTCCTTAACACAACTTGTTAATTGCATCTTTAGGTCTTCACTTTCCTTCTTCCAAATCCTTTTCTTCTTCCAAATTCTTTATTGCTGAAGTATGTGCAATCAAATCCAAACTGTATAAACTGAAAAAGAAAATAGAAAAAATATTAAACATGAATTTTTTTTCAGTTACAGCACTATGAAGAGCCACAATCAGCAGATGTCACAGCTTGTGGAAATACAAAATTTCCCATTAAAGTTACAAATATAATAGATGACTTGTATAAATGTTGTAATGAGTTCATACCAATAAGTATTGAAGAAGCCAGGCACTTAGAAAATGTTACTGTTCGCCAGTTTGACTGTACAGAGTGGTTCAATCAACGAAAGAAAAGAATAACAGCTTCACAATTTGCAAGAGAACTAAACGAAAAAAAAAACAAGTGAATGACAAATTTTCAAATCTTTGTTTGATCCAAAGAAATATTCAAATGCAGCAACCTCATATGGAACTGCCAATGAAAATGTGGCAAAAGAACAATATGCTGAAAAATATAAGGACAACCATCTTCACGATTGTGGTTTTAGTAGTCAATCCTATACATAGTTTTCTTGGTGCTACACCTGATGCCAAACTGTGCTCCTATGGTACCACAGGAATTGTAGAAATAAAATGTCCTTATGCTATAAGAGACCATAAAATTGAAGAAGCAGTAGTCACAGCTAATTTTTGTTTGCAACAAAATGGAGATATTTTAGTTTTGAACAAAGGACATGAGTATTACTAGGTTCAAGGATAGTTACTTCTAACTGGTGCACCTTTATGTGAATTCATTGTATATACAAAATCAGATATGTCAGTGGTAAAGGTACTTCCAGACTACGAATTTCAAATGGAAATGTTCAGTAAACTATGTGAATTTTATAAAACACATGCCATGCCTTATCTTGAAAAAATCGAAAAAGAATTACCAATTTCATCAGTTTGAATATCTTTGTCATTTTCATTACTAGACAGTATGATTGGATTAATACACATAACTTCTGGTACACTACAGGAGGGTTCTGCACTATTTTGTTCTAATTCAACATATTTTCTTTTCCTCGATTTTACTCTGGCTTCATATACCTGGCAAACAGTTGCAGGAAAAGGATCTGCATTCAAACAACAAAGTGCTGAAAAAATAATGTTTATTCTGTTTATTATGAAAATAAAAATAGATGACTAATAACTGGTTATCTATAACGTTTGATTTACAAATAAGCTTATCAAATAAGTGTTGAGACTTAAGTTTTCCTATATTTGCTTTCGTTATCAAAGTACTCTATCTCATTCAGATCAATCTATCATGTCTATCAGTTAATCACGTGTTTTTATTGAGAACAGATATTAATGATGTAAATAATTGTTTACAAATATTAACAAAAATATTACATACCTTTGAACAAGCATATGTGTCTCTTACTATTTTATTAACATTAAGTTGTTCCACAGGTCTCCCACATGCCTTAATCCATCTCAAACAAGCATCTTAATTTGTCTTTGGTTGTTTTGGAAATGGCAGGAAAGGTACATTAATTATCATATCTAGATACCTTGTATCAGAATAACATGTCCCCCATGAGCATCTTTTTACCATTTTTCTCAAAATAAGTGTTCATCTTCTATGTGTGTATATCTAAAGCTTTTCCGAGGTTATGGCCGACACAGGTGTTGTTGTCATATATTGATTCACGTAAAAACGTAAAAAAAAATGGCTTCAAATACAAACAGTCATCACACAATTTACAATAACTACACTACTACCATTACTTGTATATATGTTCATTGGCAAGGTTGATTCAGTAGAATACTGGTTTTCAAAATCCCGTATTTTTGGTGGAAATTTCATCATTGTTTACATGTTTAAGGCAATTTCTTTTAATCGTGCATACTCTTGAGTATCTAGTAATATTGTTTATCATTAATTTCTTTACTCTAGAACTAAAGGTTAACCACTATTGCATAAAACATAATGTCAGCTAGAAACTGCAAATAACATGTGCATAAACATTCTACTAGAGATATACATTAAATGCTACAGACAAAATGTTGACAGAGAATGCCATTTCATGAGATCCAAGTTGCCAACTAAACAAAATAATCATTACTTAATCATCCTTCTGTAGTAACAAAAGATATATCCATTAGATATCAAGTAATTGAGATCTACAACACTTTATTCTCAGTGTATAAAGCATTGTTTAAAAATAACATGATACCGGTTTAAATAAAATGAAAGTTTTGGCTTTTATCGTTCGAGAGTTAAGCCCGTTGATTATCTTACAAAGAAGTATGGATAACCATTGTCTTTCTTTACAGCTAGGTTTTTTTTATGGTGCAAATGTTTCACGTGACATTTGGATGAAAGCATACTAGTGCATCAAAACGTTATCAGGAATTAACATATATATTTGACGGTACAATGGACTGGACTAACCATGCTCGAACTCCACCGCAAACAAACAACACATGTCCAGATAGCCTAACTCGACAAAGATAACCCAAGCCGTTTTTGGCAAGACATTTAGAAATTTTCGGGTTTTTGATGTTCGAATTTGTAATAGATTTGGTCTTCCATCCGATTTGGGTCGAACGCCACTGATGAGTCTTTAATAAATGAAATGCGCGTCTGTCGTACGAAATAGTACTGGTGTTTTAATGATTTTTAAAACCATTAGTTCAATACCAATGCTTGTACCGGTTCTATCCTCGAGAGTATGACCATCCAATTAAGCAGAAAATCACTAAATGACTTGAACTATTATCATACTCTCATTTTCTGTTTCAATAGTGATTTATTTATCACGATAAACTTTTTTCTACCCAAGACAAGAATTGGCTTAGCCAAATTTGGCACATTTTGTATTTGATGTTTAATTTAAATACTTCACTGCTCTTTAACTTCGTTTTTGATTGGGTCATCAGACTGTTGTCATTAGCATGCCCCTAATGAATCTACAGAAGTACCAAGTTATAGGCCTGGTGTCTTTTATGAGGTAGTTTGGTATAGTTAAATCAGTTTAACTTGCACGAAAAAGTTCCTCCCTTTGCTTAATTAGACCATTTGTTATAAAAGTACAGCCAACTTTAAAAACCTGCACAGTGCAACTACCAATATGATGACCACTAGCTTGAACGAGAAAATAAAAACCTAGGAAACAAGGCTTCCACCAGCAGTACAATCGATGATAATTCAAATTGGCAGAAAATAGGACCTTAGAACAATTTAAAAAGAATTAGTTAGCCTTTGCTTTTTTTCTTTATTTTTATTTACGATCAGCATTGCATTTAGGGATTAGATGATGATAAAGACTGTAACACATTTTAGACATATCTTAAACATGTTAAAGTCTGAATTATCTATAAATCTGCACATGTTTGGAAATGTACTGTTAAAATCATTCAGCGACAGGAACATTGTTTTCCAGAAAGAACCACTTTGTTATTGCGAAACTTAAATTGTCGTTCTGGTCGTATATTTATCTAAGTTTCGATGTTTTCTACCTTTTGACCAATACAGTTATGTCTACAAATTGATAGTATTGACTGTAAGTACTAGCCTTGATTATGCTTAAGTTCATTTAGATTAATACGCTCAACGCGTTTGATATGAAGCTCAGAATTATCAACATTTAGTAATTAATCAAAGTTTCTTCTGCTGTTTTTTTTAATGTGCTTCATTTTTTTATTTTTGAAGACTTTCCATAAAAAATATCATGAAAAATTATTGTGACGAATGAAAATTTACGTCAAATAGCAATGCTGTTGTGATGCTCGCGGAAGTTTATCCAAACACTACATGACCTTATTGTTGTTGTTTTTTGTCCCAGTGCTGTAAAAAAACAAAATCGGTCGTAAGACAGAAAATGAACAACTTTATTACCTTCAATATGACCATCTGTTGTGACAGCTTCTGTGCTAGGTAATACCCTTAAACATCCTTCCACGGAGTCGCATCTGAAATAATTGTATTTGATAAATTTGTTTTATTCATTTACAGTTTGTTAAAACTCGGAACCATATAAATTTGACGTATTATGTAGACAATAGTCGATAGGTTTATCTTCTGTACAGATATAAAAGGCAATTTCCCATAGAAACTCCTTTTACGTCTAAAACTGTGCCACTTTTTAGAGATATTATGGAATCGAAAGTTGACATGCAATTAATCATATGGTTATGTGACATTTTGTTCAACATTTATATGGCTCGAGCTTCCCAGAGTTTTAACTTAAACTGAAAATCAATTTTATCCCTCCATTTACTACGAGTCTCCCTAAGAATTTAACTTGACCGCTATCCAACTGTATTTACCTTGATTCTTGGTAAAATTCCCTAGTTGTATCTATATAAGATGAACTGTTCAAATAACATTTGTGTACAATATGTCAACAAAATAGATATATCTATGACTATAAGGTATCTTCTTAAAAGAGGCTTTGTACTTAAATCAGCTTTATTTACAAAGTGCATAATAACGTTGAAGGCCGTATGTTCTCTTCTATATGCTATTAGTACTGCTTTCTATGTGTTTTTTATAACGAGAAACTCATATCATATCGAAGTATTTCAAATAATGTGCTATACGAGACAAAAACAACTATTGCATATTTTTATCGACTCGTATTTAAGGAAGAGGTCACAAAATAGTATCGAAATAAGAAATGATCAAGGGCATAAGTAAAAGAAAGAAAATACACTTAAAAATTGCATATAGCTATTGCCTAGAATCTGCTTAAATTGCCACAAAAAGCAAAAGCAGCCTTTTGACTTAATAACTGAAGGCTTATGCTTGATGCCGACCTAAAAACTAGTTTCGTCTTTTTGCAGGCTATAGGAATGGTTTCAAATGGTTTTCCTTAAATGACAACTCGGGAATAGTTTTCAGGAATATTCAATTTCTTAAAAATACAAATAATATACAAACCGTATGTGCAACGCGAATGGGCAAAACGCTCAAACAATAATCTAACTTGAAATTCCTGCCGTCAAACTGTTGTCAGTAGCAGAACGACGCGTTCCACTTATGAACATGATATGTTAAGTCTTCCAGACACTATAGTTTACCTCGAGTCTTAAACGGGTTTATGTTCCTCAATCTTCAGTTTCTCTTAGGGATTGATGTTGTATGTCTGGGTTTTTTTGTTTTTTTCTCTTTATTATTGACTTATGTTTTAATATGAATAGTTTTTAAATTCCTTCTTAAAAAGATCTTTTCTTGAATCGTTCCCAAAACGCATTATCTTAACACCAGCATTAACTCCATGGTGAAAAAGAAACAGTAAATATGTAACGCAACCGAACCTACATAATTAAGGCTTTATCGAATATCCAATCATAACCAGAATTCTCAAAACCATAAATCAAAATTAATGGCTTGAGTTACAAACAAATTACATTGTGCAAATGACTAAGTAACAATGTGGTTAAACACTAGATGCCGGAGGGAAAGTATTTTATATATTTTTATAACTTGGTTATCTCCATTCAAGCAATTTTAGAGTTATATTACATAGTTTGTTCGAAGGACCCATATGATTTTGATGGTTAAACAATGTTTGAAACAGACATTGCATAATTCGTATTAAACGTATACGTAGCTGGACATAAAGGTATTCAGACGTGTAGCTAATAACCTTCTTTTATGTAATAGAATAAATTTGCTTCGATAAACTTGCCGAAGAAAAAAATAATATGTTCACACCTTTCAATAGTTCTGCATATACATCGATTGAAACATTTTCGTCCATAAAAACCTTCCTGACATGGTTTGCAAAGCTTGCCATCAAATGAAGAGAAACCATGTTCACATTCTGCAAAAACAACAATCCTAACCAGATATTAGTTAGGTTAAATATATTCAAAATCATATATTAACATGAATTCAACTGCATTACATTTTCGTCTTATGTTATGTGTATCTATTTTCAATTCATTATTATGAATTCTAAAAGTCAAATTCCCGAAGATTGATGCCTTTCTAACTACCTGTGGCGACAAGACACACAAACCAAATCAGCGTACACATGAATACAATGTAAAATAGAATAATGGGTTTGTTTTATATACATAATGTATCATTAGTACTTAAAGGGGCATATCCTTAAAGGGGCATATCTAAGAAGTAGGTAAATATTTTCTCAAACATTTATAGACGCTGAATATTGAAATGATATTTTGCTCTTAGCAGTCCGCTTGGTTAAAAAAAATGAAAACAACATGTTGTTAATTTAATGCGTTCGAAGTGCTTTTCTGGATTTACCTTCACCAGGAACACTCAAAGCCAAGTAGTTGAAAGCCAAGGATGTATAAATCCGAAACAGTTGAAGAGCTATATAATCAAAAATGACCTAAAATAACAGCATAGTTAGTTGATAGTACATAAATTTAAATTTAAACCCATATTACAGTTAATGGAAGCTTTTAATAAATTTAAACCATATATTGCTATTGTGAACAAAGTATTTTTTCTTTGGTCGAATGTTTTGTTTTTGTGATTCCATTTGAAAAGTATGGACGTTGTCATTGCTGTATTATGGGAGTATTATCTTTGTTTTCTTAACTCCTTATTAAATCAAAATTTGTTAAAATTTCTCAAAAAGATATCGGATAATGATGATGTGCTCCCTATTTTGCTTTTTATCAGAATTATTTTTGGGGTTTCCCTTAGCAACTCAAAGATTTTTTCAGTTGCGGGTTATCATTTTGTAAGCTTTGCTGCTAGAACTTCTAGTATTTCTCAGCTTCTTGCGATCGTTTGTCAGTCGATATGCTCCATACTGTATTCTTGTTTTGATGATACTATCAAATATATCTAATTGCACGTTCAACTTAAAAAAGCTATACCCAGTTATGAATTTTTGTAGTTGAAGTAAGAAATACCTCACCAACGGTCTAAATATCATTTTCATTTAACCGATATCCAAAGATTTCATTCCAGTATCATAGTTATATGTCTAAGAAAAGTAAGAAAAGATGGTTTACGTGTTTGAAATGAGCATTATATTGATATAATCTTGGATTTATCTAATCAAACATACGAATGTCACCCTAAGGTTAGAGAAGTCGTCATGGTAACTGTTGACATTTCAACAAACATCGGTGTATACAACCTCGATGTTGAAATGATGCTCTCT